GCGGGGTAGCTTGACTTCTGGGTGAGCCATGTAATGCGCCTAATGCCCTACGGGTCAAGTACATCATAGATAGCGGGGTTAATAAAGGGAGTCGACAACAATTTATCCGGGGGCAGCTGAAGAGCACATGTGGGAGAATCTGAGGAGTAAGTTACCTCACTGGTGGCTTACTGGGGGAAAGATGCAAATTTGATTCAGCAGCTTTTTGATAAAAATGATTTTTTCCAATTATTTATCTTGGATTGGCAGCGATAGGTTCTGTACTTTACTACATTATTGATAATTGAAAACGTAGCGGTTTTTAACAAGTACATGGTGTAAGTTCCACTCAATGTACAAAAGTAGAAGGGTAAAGTATCTACACTCACTAATTGTTTCAGAGAACATACTTACTGTGACCTCTATAAAGTGCTGAATTCTGGACAGTTTAAGAGCCAACTCTTAAATCACTTAAATAAAGCCAAGTCTTTCATCACAGTATAGCTCGTCCCAAATGTGAAAGGGAAGCGCATTCGTCCAACCTCCTCAGTTTCCATTATTTTTACTAGCAATCTATTAGACACCATATTGCTATAGTATTAAATAAATGGTTTACAGGACATTAAGTCAGTGAATGTTCTCTGCAAATAATTATCTGCATATAATTCCCAATATTAGAGATTCTGACTTTTTTTGTTGCTTCACCAAGTAAGTCTGTAACTGTGTGGAAAGATCTTCCTGTGGAGATACTGCACCATCTCCTCACGGTTCTGCAGCTTGTCAAACTCGTGGAATGGAATCTGGAAAAAGCAAACGGGTTTTGATGTTAAAGTGAAATCTCCGGAACCCCAAGTGGAAAATGTAATTGCCAGTATAGCCACCATTCTTTCAGTGTTTAGATATTTTGAATGACTGTGTATTTAACTTTATGCAGTACCTTCAAAGAACCCGCAGTTAAAGGCTGGATTTTGTTAACTAAACATTTTTCAGCTGTATTGGACAATTTTTTTGTACAGCTCTCTCCCAAACAATGGTATTACTGGATTGTGTACCTGCACAACATCATAGCCCAGTAGCTGCAGTTGTCTTTGTTTGATGGCCTCCTTTCCAATCAGATGGCAACTATTTACACAGAATCTTCTTTGATCATCAATACACAATGCTATCCTGAAACAGAAAAATAACACATCGTCTCCAACCGAAATAATATTCACTTCACATTTATTCTCAGTAATATTGCAATAGCAATTACATGTCCCATTTTTAAATAAAATTATTGTAAACAATGGCCGAGTAATGAAAGTTTAAGGTTTCATCTCACACTTTTAAAGATAGTTTTGTTCACTAACTTGATGGCTGTTTGTGGGACGTTGCTGTTGTGTTTACCAAGAAAATAAATAGTTACTACAATTCCGGGACGTTTCACCAATGTGATATGTCAAAGACAGGATTTTTAAATATCTAAAGTTCTCACCTTCGGTACACATTGTCACGGCTGGCAGCAGGAAGCACATATCCTTCTTCATCTAGTTTGATCTCAACATCTGACAAATGGAATAATTTGCTGTTATGTTAAAATGCACATTTTAAATCAAGCTCCAAGCATGTTCAACCAAGTGTTCTACAGAGTTCGTCAATTAGCACACAACTCGAGGGTGCATGTTTAAAATTAACAAGCCTCAAGCACACAAGACCACAGTGTCGAAGAAACTTCAACCCTCTCTTGCCCAGAGGGAAACTTGTCAAACAAGCTCCTCTGTAAAAATAGTTGATGCTCAATTAATTTAGTCTTTAAGCACTGAATATTTGATCACATGTGGGATTCAAGACTTTCATGATATCCATAAACTGAACTAATTAAATACTCCACAGGCCAAAATGGAAACAGGGATAACAACAACAACTTATATTTACATAGCACACCTCACACACAGTAGAAACCCAGAGCGCTTCATGAATGTCTTTGAGTTTTGCTTTTGCATACCTTTTTGGATTGGGGATTTACGCAAACCCTTTCCTCTGCCAGCAGTGTGATGCTACAGAGTAGTGCACTTCAAATTATCCAGTACAGTAATTCCCCACAATACAATTTATATTTTCATAGCACCTTTGATGTCAGGAGCATGTCTCATAGTGCTTCACACTGCTGGCTGGGCATCCAAACTGAGGGATGGGAACTGAAAAGAGCGTGGAGGGGAAAGATGACTGAAAGTGCGGTCAAAGATGGCAGATTTTGAACATGAGGATGAAGAGGGTGAGTTGGAGAAACTGGATGGATATCAGAAAGAGGCAGCAGACTGTCTAAAAGCTGGTGGGGCAGATAAGATGGGGAACATGAAACAGACCAGTGTTTGCTGAGTCTGCAAACTCAGAAGGGTTGTAGGAGGTTTCAGAGGGATGGTGGGGTGAGGCAGCAGTGGGATTTAAAGGTGAATGAGGATATGAATGAGATATGCTGGAGGATGAAAGAGTGAGCTGGGAAGCAATGATTTGTTCCAGCAACTTGGAGAAAAGAGGGAATAAAACATAAGGGAATTTCTCAAATCATTCAAAAACCTCCTGCTGACTTCATCAGCTGAGAAATGTTATTTTATTTGAAACACAAAAAAGAATGAACCTTACGCAAACATACTGAAAAGAAATCTGGTTGTGTACCACGTGTCTGTCTTACACCAGCATTGTAACATAAGAATTGCTAGATGAAAGGAGACCAAGGACCATCCAGTTCACCTTCCACCATCCTGGCAGTCACATGAAAACCATCCTAGGAATCAGATATATTGTATCCCAAGATATTATTTCCCAAAATAAATCTATCTCATTTGCTTTTGAAAGAAACAAAATGCATACAGTACCGAGTGTGTAGCAGTATGGTGTCAGGACGCGGGAAGCAAAATAATTCCTTGCTCCGAGAAGATCAATTAAGGCATTTTTAACATTGTTGTAGAGATGCTCATCAACTAAAGTTTCCAGTGAGCGTCCTGGTTTGAGAAAGGTTTTCACACGGTACTTTTGAGGAAGACTGGGACCCTGGTAGTCAAACAGAGAAGGCAGTAGTTTCCATTACAAGAGAATAAAAGTAAAAATCTGTTCTTAAGTCGGTCAACTGGTAAAAATACTCAAAATCACTGTAATATACTAAAAAAAAGTGCTACATCAATCCGTATCTTAAAGAGAAAGATAGATCAGGTCAGGTGTAACCCTCATTGAATTGTGATGAAGGATCACATCTGAAGTGTAACACCTTTTTCTTTCAGGTATTGCTGTATAAATGCAATGCTGTGTTTACCTATAAAGGAAGCGGTTATTGCACTTCACAATAAATCCTGTGAAGTGCTTTGAGAAATCCTCTTGATAGAAAAGGCACTCGATCAAATGCAAGGATTACCAACCAACATTTGTGTTTTTTAACCTAGCTTCTCTTTTCCTTTAGGTCAACCACAAGGTGGCACACCACACCCTTGGTAGTGGCCCCCAAAACATTTAAAAAATAGCAATTACTGGAACCTGCGCTGAAGTTACATCATTGCCGCACCCCCTGACCTGCCGGCCACACGGCGAGCGTCCTAGAGCTGGGAGCTCCGTTCATCACACCCAGAGCAGCAGCGACGTGGAACCCAGCACAGAGTGTGTGTGTGTGTGAGAAAGACTGTGTGAAAGAGAGTGAGTGTGAGAGAAAGAGAGACAGAGAGAGTGAATGAGAGAGTTAGAATGTTTGCACGTGAGAGTGAAAGAGAGACTGCGAAAGCGAGAAATAAAGTGTGTGTATGAAAGAGAAATGTGGGTGAGAGAGAGTGAGTGAGAGTGAGAGAGACCTCACACTGCAGGGGTTTACCCCAAATCCCCTTCACCTCGAATGCCGACAATGTCAATGCAGATTCGGATCAATCTACACCTGTGAGCAGTCCTTTTTCACAATGAACTTCATAAAAAATACAATACTGTTCCAAATTAACAGATGATCATATTAATAATCTTCCACTGGAGTGCTCAACAACAACAACAACTTGGATTTATATAGCGCCCTCCACACCGGACGGCGTCTCAGAGCGCTTTACAGTAACGGATCCCAGGGCCGAGCCGGGGGGAGGGTGGGGGGGGGAGAAGGTGACCAAAGGCGCGGTCGAAAAGAAAGGTCTTCAGCAGAAACCTGAAAATGGAAAGGGAGGGAGCGAGAAGAAGGGAGTGAGGAAGGGAGTTCCAGAGCCTCGGGGCATAGTGGCTGAAGGCACGGCCGCCGAGGGTGGAGTGGAGGACTCGGGAGACGAGGAGGAGGCCAGACCCGGAGGAACGAAGGCAACGGGTGCTGGTTTGAGGAGAGAGGTCAGAGAAGTAGGGGGATGCAGAGGAGTGGAGGGACTTGAATACGAGGGTGAGGATCTTGAAGTCGAGTGCTCAAAACTGAATCCAAATTCAGAAGCCTCATTAACTAACTTATTCGATATTTTATTGTGAACTTCTTAATAAATGCATCTTTCTTTTCCAGTCATATTTTTCTTTTCCTTTTAATGTTGTTATGTTTTTTTTTAGTGGCACGGCAATATGTCTTGGGCTCACATCTTAGCAAAAGGTTGGCCACCACTGGACCGGACAAACTCCAGTACAGGGCTGGGGAATACTACATTATCAGAGGTGACATTCTTTGGATGAGATGTTAAATCAAAGTCCCGTTTGCCTGTTGTTTTCTACATTTGTTTGTGGGCTCTGGCTTTACGCAAAATGGCAACAGTGTTTCTGTATTAAAAAAGTCACTATACCTGACAGTAATTAACAACGACAACTTGCAGTTATATAATAATAATAATAATCCTTGCATTTGATATAGCGCTTTTCACGTCGGGAGGACGTCCCAAAGCGCTTCACAGAATATACTGTAAAGTGAATTGACTGTATATTTGTGGGCGAACGCGGCAGCCAATTGCGCACAGCAATGTCCCACAAACAGTCGTAGATTGAAAATGACCAATTTATTATTGTTTTGTTTTGGAGGGATTATTATTAGGCTCTGTGTGGAGTAAGGAAACTTGCCCAAGGTATCGCCCTCTGCCTGGAATTGAACTCAGGTCTCTCACTTGCAAAGCGAGTGCTCTAACCACTGAGCTACAGGACTCCATATAGCGCCCTTCACGCAGAGTAGCATCTTGGAATGCTTCTAATTTTAATTTACGTTGGTTATTTGATTCATTCAGAACAACGTGAATGCAGCACTATAACTTTCAGAACTCCAGAAAAATGAATGGGTAAGTAACTGTTTGACACAAGTTTTGCCCATGTCAGGTTTATGATCTTTCGAATTCAATTAGGATTTACAAGCAACACAATAATTTGTACACTTCTACTTTTCAACCAAACTCAAATCTCAACATAAAAGCTTATTTATCAGTCAACTGAGATGAATACAGAAGTTAATATTCTTCTTACCTCATAAAAGGGGCACTCCAGTTTCACAGTCATGAACAGCTGGGTCAGCTGGGCACGAACAAATTGATCTAAACCAGTTCCTTGTGCTGTTACAACAAAACAGTCACTATGATTAAAATAGCACCACATCAATGCAAAATAAAACAATAATAATAATCCTTGCATTTGATATAGCGCCTTATCACATCTTTGAGATGTCTCAAAGCACTTCACAGAATATACTGTAAAGTGAATTGACTATATTTTGTGGGCGAAAATAGAATTTTAAAATAATTTAATTTAGTTTTAATTCAGTTTGCTGCCCTGAAACCCCATGACTCACTTTTGAGAGTGAAGTAAGAAAGAAAACCAGCACATCTCACTTTTAGATTTGGAGTGGCGAGGGAATGAGATAAACTTTGAGGCAACCTTCCCTCAATCTCAATTTTCCCTTGTTGCTGAAAGTTGCTAATAGAGTAGCAGCATCCGATGGTGTGGAAGCAAGTTGCCAAGTGGTGCAGGAAGACCAGGATGAAAAGCAGCAATTTAATGCAAAATTCCAGACGAGATTCAATCCCTGTTCCCAGGAATGAAAGGACCATCTGATCATTTACAGTGCAATCCAATTCCCACAAGAAACACATCTACTAATGCCATATCTGGCATTCCTAAAGGCCAAATCCTTGAACTTACCTGTAGGGTTTATTTTGTCTTCCTACATTGTGTCATGTACCCTTCACAGGAGATTCTTGCGATCATCTTGAAATTGCAATGATGTGTGTGTGTGTATGTGTATCTCAGAGAGGGGGCTGCACACCAAGTTCAATATTCCCACAATTTCTCCAGAGCTTAGCACTGACTGATATTTTCCAACTTGGTAGGAGGAAGCAATTGTGTGAAAAATGAGGTAGGAAAATGAACAAGAGTGTGAAGCGCTGGTATTCAATGGGACTGAAGGCGATCACTTCAATTACATACAGATATAGAATTCTACACTTGCATTACCCAATATTGTATAAAACTGAAAACTGTCAATCACCTAAAACAAGAAAAAATTACTGTCTGTGTTAATTTTTGTATTCAGAACATCGGACAGCTAATATCCCAAAACACCAGGATATTATAGATTTTAAAACCACAAATCACATTAATGTTATGTAGTGTAAATGCCACTCCCTGCTCTATCCAATTAGAGCTTTGTACATGATATAGAGATACATCAATTAAATAGGAAAGCTCAATCAATAATAATCCTTGCATTTGATATTGATTCAAATTTGATTGCATTTGAATTGACCGTATATTTTGTGGGCGAAATGCAGCAGCCAATTGTGCAAAGCAGTGTCCCACAAACAGTTGTGGATTGAAGTGACCAATTTATTACTTTTTTTAAAGGAATTATTACCCCCGGAAAAGTGATCCGCCAATCAACTAACAACCAGGTTCCTACTTACTGATAAGTAAACAGGCGTGTGGAGTAAGGAAACTTGCCCAACATTTTGTTCCGCCGGGAATCAAACCCAGGTCTCTTGCTTGCGAGTCGAGTGCTCTAACGCTGCGCTACAGGACTGCAGAATTAATAACAACAACATGCATTTATATTGCGCCCCTGACTCAGGGTAGCGTCCCAGAATGCTTAATTAAACAGGAAAACTCACCTTCCAACTGTTGCAGAAAGTAGGGGCTAAAAACTTTAGCTACAAAGTTCACAGGAAAGCGTTCAATCAATATGCATGAATGGAGGAGGTTCAGTAGTGCGTGTGGTTGAAACTGTGAAAAACGTCTCCTCAAAATGTTTTCAACCTTTCGAAAGAGTTGGCCTGCAGTCGACGGCAGGTAGTTCAGCTCACCAAAGGACATCAACTGGAGCACAATTTCTGTGGTTGTAAAATTGTCAGAGTTGTAAATAAAACTCTCTGCAACTGCATCCAAGATGGGTCGTGAAAGGATCCGGCGCCGAATGCAATACTTCATCACCTTGCTGATTGCTTGTGGCTGCATGACAAAGGCCTTTGGGGGGATATTTCTTTCTAACGCTTCAATGAAAAATCTGTCACTGTGTCCAAAGTACATTAAAGCATTCAGGACCTGTATGAGCTCCTGGTCTGAGAAATAGGGAACATGCCTGACTGAATGTTTACATAGGTTGATAACCAAAGGGATAGCCTGAGTTTGCTTGAGGATAACCATTGCATTTAGCACATCACTTATTGCTTTTGGACGCAACTTGTAAACCAACTGAAGAGTGTGGGTGTTCATTCTATTCAGTAGCTGCTGGTACTGTCCTCCTTTGTCAATACTCGCCACCAGCAAATTATAAACCATCAACATCTCTTCAACAGTCCAGTTCACCACTTCCTGTTTCTGAACTTGCTCCATTACTTGATTAAGCATCCTAGAGCCCAGAACTTCTAAGTCTAGCAATGCTTCACCCAGGACACACAGCTCCTCAATGGACATCAGGCCTCTACTGAGTCGCTCATGACTTTCTGACACAAGTCGCACCATAAGAGAGCTCTGGGGCTCCACCTGCAGCTGGACGTACGCGAACAGTGCAGTCACAAGCCCCATGTCACTCAATCTTGGAGCCTCACGTTCAAACTGAAAACACAGTGCCTTGAAGACATCGTTATCCAGAAACTCAACAGGTCTTTTCTGTCCGTTTTCATCTTGCTCAACCTGTGAGATTCTCAGCAAGGCAAAGGCTGCCACAGTGTCAGACATGGAGCTCAATGAACTCAGCAGTTCGAAGACCTGCTTAGAAGACGTACATTTTTGCAAATGTTCTAAGACACTTTGCTCATCAGTGGATATGTGCTCCTTGGTGTCCAGTTTAACACCATCCCCAGCATCTCTATGCAGATACACTGTCCCTGTGGTGGTGCAATAAGGCTGATCTCGACTTACACAGTGGTACGTTTTCTGAGGCACCCATTGATGACAGATCTTTGGCACAGTTGGCAAAACGAATTGAGAAGACAAAATGTTATGAATGCGACGGTAAGGGTACAGCTGATGCTTCACAGTTTGAAGAAAACATTCCGCTTGTATCTTGGAAGAATGAAGCTTAACCAGTCTTAGAAGCTTAAAAGCCATAACAACTCCAGGACTCCAACTTCCAGTCACCTGTTGTGAAAAGAGAGAACAAAATGATTGCAGTTAATAAAATTGCAAATGCCGTGGCTGCCTCAGTCAACGGCTTCAATATAAAAGAGACTTTCTCTTCTCTGGAAGATGTAATAATGATATTAAAGACTTTCGCTAACTCCAGCGTCCAGAGACTAGTCCAGTCCAGACAACAGACAACATTAGAGACTTTCTCCCTCCCGGATTGTTTAATAACAATATTAAAGACTCTATCCTCCAGATTGTACAATAATGATATCACTGACCCTCACTCTGTCTATACACAGTGTAATGATGTTACACAGTGACTATACACAGTGTAATGATGTTACACAGTGACTATACACAGTGTAATGATGTTACACAGTGACTATACACAGTGTAATGGTGTTACACAGTGACTATACAGTGTAATGATGTTATACACAGTGTAATGGTGTTACACAGTGACTATACAGTGTAATGATGTTATACACAGTGTAATGATGTTACAGTGACTATACACAGTGTAATGATGTTATACACAGTGTAATGGTGTTACACAGTGACTATACAGTGTAATGATGTTATACACAGTGTAATGGTGTTATACACAGTGTAATGGTGTTACACAGTGACTATACACAGTGTAATGATGTTACACAGTGACTATACACAGTGTAATGATGTTACACAGTGACTATACACAGTGTAATGGTGTTACACAGTGACTATACAGTGTAATGGTGTTACACAGTGACTATACAGTGTAATGATGTTATACACAGTGTAATGATGTTACAGTGACTATACACAGTGTAATGATGTTATACACAGTGTAATGATGTTATACACAGTGTAATGGTGTTACACAGTGACTATACACAGTGTAATGATGTTATACACAGTGTAATGGTGTTATACACAGTGTAATGGTGTTACACAGTGACTATACACAGTGTAATGATGTTATACACAGTGTAATGGTGTTATACACAGTGTAATGGTGTTACACAGTGACTATACACAGTGTAATGGTGTTACACAGTGACTATACACAGTGTAATGGTGTTACACAGTGACTATACAGTGTAATGATGTTATACACAGTGTAATGGTGTTACACAGTGACTATACACAGTGTAATGATGTTACACAGTGACTATACACAGTGTAATGATGTTACACAGTGACTATACACAGTGTAATGATGTTACACAGTGACTATACACAGTGTAATGGTGTTACACAGTGACTATACACAGTGTAATGATGTTACACAGTGACTATACACAGTGTAATGGTGTTACACAGTGACTATACACAGTGTAATGATGTTACACAGTGACTATACACAGTGTAATGGTGTTACACAGTGACTATACAGTGTAATGATGTTATACACAGTGTAATGGTGTTACACAGTGACTATACAGTGTAATGATGTTATACACAGTGTAATGGTGTTACACAGTGACTATACACAGTGTAATGATGTTACACAGTGACTATACACAGTGTAATGATGTTACACAGTGACTATACACAGTGTAATGGTGTTACACAGTGACTATACAGTGTAATGATGTTATACACAGTGTAATGGTGTTACACAGTGACTATAGACAGTGTAATGTTATACACAGTGTAATGATGTTATACACAGTGACTATACACAGTGTAATGGTGTTACACAGTGACTATACACAGTGTAATGGTGTTACACAGTGACTATACACAGTGTAATGATGTTACACAGTGACTATACACAGTGTAATGATGTTACACAGTGACTATACACAGTGTAATGGTATTACACAGTGACTGTACACAGTGTAATGGTATTACACAGTGACTATACAGTGTAATGGTGTTACACAGTGACTATACAGTGTAATGATGTTATACACAGTGTAATGGTGTTACACAGTGACTATACAGTGTAATGATGTTATACACAGTGTAATGGTGTTACACAGTGACTATACACAGTGTAATGATGTTATACACAGTGTAATGATGTTACACAGTGACTATACACAGTGTAATGATGTTACACAGTGACTATACACAGTGTAATGGTGTTACACAGTGACTATACACAGTGTAATGGTGTTACACAGTGACTATACACAGTGTAATGATGTTACACAGTGACTATACACAGTGTAATGGTGTTACACAGTGACTATACACAGTGTAATGTGTTACACAGTGACTATACACAGTGTAATGGTGTTACACAGTGACTATACACAGTGTAATGGTGTTACACAGTGACTATACACAGTGTAATGATGTTACACAGTGACTATACACAGTGTAATGATGTTACACAGTGACTATACACAGTGTAATGGTGTTACACAGTGACTATACACAGTGTAATGATGTTACACAGTGACTATACACAGTGTAATGATGTTACACAGTGACTATACACAGTGTAATGGTGTTACACAGTGACTATACACAGTGTAATGATGTTACACAGTGACTATACAGTGTAATGATGTTACACAGTGACTATACACAGTGTAATGTGTTACACAGTGACTATACAGTGTAATGTGTTACACAGTGAATACACAGTGTAATGGATGTTACACAGTGACTATGCACAGTGTAATGATGTTACACAGTGACTATACAGTGTAATGATGTTACACAGTGACTATACAGTGTAATGATGTTACACAGTGACTATACACAGTGTAATGATGTTACACAGTGACTATAACAGTGTAATGGTGTTACACAGTGACTATACCAGTGTAATGTGTTACACAGTGACTATACAGTGTAATGATGTTACACAGTGACTATACACTGTGTAATGGTGTTACACAGTGACTATACAGTGTAATGATGTTACACAGTGACTATACAGTGTAATGATGTTACACAGTGACTATACAGTGTAATGATGTTATACAGTGACTATACACAGTGTAATGATGTTACACAGTGACTATACAGTGTAATGATGTTACACAGTGACTATACAGTGTAATGATGTTACACAGTGACTATACACAGTGTAATGGTGTTACACAGTGACTATACACAGTGTATTTGGTGTTACACAGTGACTATACAGTGTAATGATGTTATACAGTGACTATACACAGTGTAATGGTGTTACACAGTGACTATACACAGTGTAATGATGTTACACAGTGACTATACAGTGTAATGATGTTACACAGTGACTATACAGTGTAATGATGTTATACAGTGACTATACACAGTGTAATGATGTTACACAGTGACTATACAGTGTAATGATGTTACACAGTGACTATACAGTGTAATGATGTTACACAGTGACTATACACAGTGTAATGGTGTTACACAGTGACTATACACAGTGTATTGGTGTTACACAGTGACTATACAGTGTAATGATGTTATACAGTGACTATACACAGTGTAATGGTGTTACACAGTGACTATACAGTGTAATGGTGTTACACAGTGACTATACAGTGTAATGATTGGGGTTTTATTGGGTTTTCTCACCAGTTTCTGCTCCAGTGGCGGGTGGCTGCAGTGCGCATGCTCGGGGAGTGGCCGACTGAAGCACCATCCCGGAGTTGACTCTTTGCCGCCAGTGCCCCCCCTCACCCCCTGCCCCCCCGCCCCGCCCAGTGCCCCCCCCCCCCTCCCCCCTCCCCCCTGCCCCCCCCCCGCCCAGTGCCCCCCCCCTCCCCCTCCCCCCCTGCCCCCCCCCGCCCGCCCAGTGCCCCCCCCCTCCCCCTCCCCCCCTGCCCCCCCCCCGCCCAGTGCCCCCCCCTCCCCCTCCCCCCCTGCCCCCCCCCGCCCAGTGCCCCCCCCCTCCCCCTCCCCCCCTGCCCCCCCCCGCCCAGTGCCCCCCCCTCCCCCTCCCCCCCTGCCCCCCCCCGCCCAGTGCCCCCCCCCTCCCCCTCCCCCCTGCCCCCCCCCCGCCCAGTGCCCCCCCCCTCCCCCTCCCCCCCTGCCCCCCCCCGCCCAGTGCCCCCCCCCGCCCCGCCCCCCCTGCCCCCCCCCCGCCCTGCCCTGCCCCCCCTCACCCTCCCCGCCCCCCCCTCCCCCTGCCCTGCCCAGTGCCCCTCCCTGCCCTGCCCAGTGCCAGCCCTGCCCTGTGCCAGCCCTGCCCAGTGCCAGCCCTGCCCAGTGCCAGCCCTGCCCTGTGCCAGCCCTGCCCAGTGCCAGCCCTGCCCAGTGCCAGCCCTGCCCTGTGCCAGCCCTGCCCAGTGCCAGCCCTGCCCAGTGCCAGCCCTGCCCTGTGCCAGCCCTGCCCAGTGCCAGCCCTGCCCAGTGCCAGCCCTGCCCAGTGCCAGCCCTGCCCAGTGCCAGCCCTGCCCTGTGCCAGCCCTGCCCAGTGCCAGCCCTGCCCTGTGCCAGCCCTGCCCTGTGCCAGCCCTGCCCAGTGCCAGCCCTGCCCTGTGCCAGCCCTGCCCAGTGCCAGCCCTGCCCTGTGCCAGCCCTGCCCAGTGCCAGCCCTGCCCAGTGCCAGCCCTGCCCTGTGCCAGCCCTGCCCGCCCTCTGACACTGAGCCCAATATGGCAATCAACTGCACACTATGCTCCTGTAGAACAGAGACTTTACACTGTTTACTGTACAATTAATGCATTTAAAAAGAAACAGTAATAACTTTTAATAACAAAAATGTTATAAGCACTCTTCCCTCTGAGAAGAGACAGATTGTCTTGGACCATATAATCTTCAGGATGATGTTCAGATATAGTGCTTGTTAGAAAATAAAATCAGCCAAATCTGCAAGGAAATGACGCTAATTCCTCTAACCAGATATCAGACTGTTTTATTATAATTTGTTCGTTATTCCCCAATATCCCGATGGGTCAGACCAAAGGCCGGTACAACCAATAGATCTTATAACAGAATAACACCACTATAGATATCTCGAGTTCAAGAGTGCAACACTGTGTCTTTCCAGCACACAAGCTTGATTCTTCATGCTCTCAGTCTTCCTGCTTACAGCTTTCAATCTTCCATCTGATATCCTCAGTCTTAGTGTTTCCATCTCTCATTCTTCCATCTCTGTATCCTTGTCTCCACGACCCGGGACGGCTCCATCTCCCGTATCCTTGTCTCCGCGACCCGGGACGGCCCCGTACACAAAGTTATCGGAACTCTTATACCAATATTCATCCAATCATGGTGTGGATATTAGATCACCTGTCGAAATCATGCCGGGTTCACGTGAACATCTCATGGGGTGTACGTGCCTCACACACACAAACACACTGTCCTTGAGACAGTCCGTTATCTCGTGTACGTGTAGGGAGTTTCAGTCCAGCTGCCCATAACACACTTAACTTAAAAGTTAACCCGTTCGCAACATCTGTTATGATTCTAACATTATACAAAAAGTGTAAATTGTAACATGCTGGAAAAGGGGCCAACCTTTGTTTAAGAGGTTAAAGCAAGGTCCCGTCTGCCTGTTCAGGTCAATGTTAAAATCCAGTGGCTTTATTTGAAAAAAGAAGGGAGTTTCTCCCGGTGTTTTGACCCACAACAATAATAATATACAATATTAATCCTTGCATTTGGTATAGCACCTTTAATGCTGGGAGCACGTCCCAAAGCGCTTTACAGGGTATATATTGTAAAGTGGAATGACTATTATTTTAATTTTATAATACAAAATATATAATACTGTCAACGTCTTGGGAAATCCTCCTGACGTGAAAGGCGCTATACAAATGTAATTTTGTTGTTGTTTATTGCATAACAAGCTTCCGCCAGAGAAATTGGTCATTCACTTTTTAGCTGTTTGTGGACATTGCTGTGCGCAAATTGTCTGTCACGTTTGTGTACAAAATAATAATAATAATCCTTGCATTTGATGAAGCACTTTTCACATCTTCTAGACGTCTCAAAGCGCTTCACAGAATAGACTGTAAAGTGAATTGACTGTATATTTGCGGCTGAAATGCGGCAGCCAATACAAAGTCACTACACTTTACAGTAAATGCTGTGAAGCGCTTTGAAACATCCTCCTGACATAAAAGCTGCTATATCAAATGCAAGGATTATTATTCTAAGAAAATGTGCAGTCATTTTGTTTGTGGGAAACAGGTGTCTATGCATTGCAGAATAAGGTTAAATTCAAAAGACACATTTGAAAATGTTTTTTTCTCAATAAATTCAGTGTGTCCAATTATTTTTTAAAATTTGGTCTGAATGGAACATAAAGAAATTGAATATTTTATAAGTATTGCTGCCCTGGTGTGCTTTGATAAGTGAGAACTACGTCACACACTGTGCATGCCATCAGCTGATAAACAGCACTGCGTATCTGGAACCACAAATTCTGATGAATATCAATTCGCGGATTACAGTCTACGTTAAACTGATGAATGTTTTCTCAGGGAACGCTATGTTCTAAACATGCACCTTGCTATAATTTTGAACAACAACTAGAGTACTATTTCTAAAGTCCAATGACATTTTGTGAATCTCCCCTCAATATGGACTTTAAAGTATGATGTTACAGCAACCCTAATCTTCAACTTTTTGCAACACATTCTGGTTTGGCAACAAGCCTCTCCGACAAAATATTTCTTTGGATATTTGAATCTCAGGCAATTTATTTCAGTTTCTGCATAGGAACAAAAATGGAACAGAAAAATAATAGATAACAGGAATCAAAACACTTAAGTGTTTTCTTTGATCCTCAGCTCTGCTCCAGGCATTAGACTATCTCCTTTGATCTCCAGGTCATGTTCATATTTCTTCCAGAACTCGCTAAAACCCTCATGAATTAGTTTTGAGATTTGATTTCTCCAATATGTTGATGCTGGTGGAATATGAAAGGTGCTGGTATCTTTACTGATATAGCCATATTTCTTAATTTCTAATTATTCATATACAAAATACAGTCACTACATTTTACAATAAAACATGTGAAGCGCTTGGAGACATCCTCCCACTGTAACGAATCTAAGAATTATTTCTCATTTTGTGAAGTCCTTTGAAATATTTGTTTGCCTGTGAGGCATTATATGAATACAACTGGCTATTATATCATTAATATAAATAAAACTTGAACCTATGGAGATTACGATCAAAACATTTTCCTCACTACACAAGATTCCCTCCTATTACAAAACACAGTACAATTACCAGAATATTTTTGTACGTGCGACACTTGGTATGTACTTCCACTATCAATAACAGCTGGTCAGTGAATCTCTTGAGTTTCTGTGATGCATGTAATCTTATCCAACAACAAATATGTTTCTATACACTCTCTTGGAGTAGCTAAGGAGAAAATATAGTCTACTGAGGCACAGTCAAGGAGAATGTATCAATTCAACCAAAAGCTGCAATGTTAAAAACTAGACAAAAGCAGAATTCTCAGTGCCACATTGAAACAGAGTATTTACATGAGAAACAGAAATGTGCACTGATCGATTAAAGCAACAGAATTGGAACCACATGTGATAAGTCACTTTATAGCCAATTTCTTATCCCCTCAACCCAAGTTACTATTTCATCGCTCATGACCATTGTTCTTAGGTGAGAATTTATTGGCAGGCTCTTTAACCATGGTGAACATCAAAGCTAACTCAATTTTCCAAGAAAGGTCAATCCACAGAGAATCGGAAGCTTAACTACAGTCATTTTCCTCCTTCTATGAGCACTTAGATCAATTGTTTTGCCACTACTGAATGATTAACCAGACTGAGACTAGCTAACTCAGTATAGACCAGGATTAGAACCGGCATAGCATTATCTATCTATCTATCTATCTATCTATCTATCTATCTATCTATCTATCTATCTATCTATCTATCTATCTATCTATCTATCTATCTATCTATCTATCTATCTATCTATCTATCTATCTATCTATCTATCTATCTATCTATCTATCTATCTATCTATCTATCTATCTATCTATCTATCTATCTATCTACTATCTATCTATCTATCTCTCTCTCTATCTATCTATCTCATCTTCTATCTCTCTATCTATCTCTCTATCTATCTCTCTATCTATCTCTCTCTATCTATCTATCTATCTATCTATCTATCTATCTATCTATCTATCTATCTAACTAACTAACTAACAATATTCCTGGCATTTGATATAGTGCCTTATCACGTTGTTGAGATGTCTCAAAATGCTTCAAAGGACATACTGCAAAGTGGATTGACTATGTATTTTGTGAGCAAAACGGGGCAGACAGTGTTGCATACGGTAGTTTCCCACAAACAGCCATGTGAAGTGAATGACCAATTTTATATTGCATGTTGGCCTGGACATTGGGAAATACTTCCTTCTTTTTTGAATAGTGCTATAGGATCTTCGGCAAATGGGTTTAATGTCTCATCCAAAAGATGGCACCCCTGACAATGTAACAACCTCTCAGCACTGCACTGGGGGGTCAGCTTGGACTATGTGTTTCCAAGTCCCAATGTGGGGCTTGAACTCACAGCCTTCTGACTCAGAGACGAAAGTGAGCCAGACTGACACTGCAATCTACTGTACCTACTGTCTAAATCCACTTATCTACTGTATTGGGGAAGTTAACACAACTCTTTATATAAAGGTACATCTCATATCACATTAAAGAAAAAATCATGAAAGTCTATGTGTAGCCAGAGAAATATGACACCAAGGAAAAGACAGTTAAGATGTATGTAGGGCAGATGCTCTGACTGGAGAGTGAATATAAGTGCATTAACATTCCACACTGTTTCTCAGTGAAATCGAGACACTGATATTGAGCAGGGCAAAGCTAAACAAGTCTGCTACTGAGTCTACAACAAATGGTGTTGCTTCGATTATATATCTGATGCATGCCAAACTAGCAAAAATAAATGGCTTGAAATTTGACTTGCTGAACAGTCTCTGAAACATAAATCAGGAGGGCCTGGAAATACACTGGGCCAAAGGCCAGCTTGGCTCAGTTGGTAGCACACTTGCCTGTAAGTTAAAATATTGTCAGTTTAAACCCCACATTGGGACTTTGGCATCCAAGGCCAACTTACTCATTGTATAATGCATTAGAGGATTTTTTTTGATTTGCCAAGTGACCAATATACGGAAACCTGTCACCATGTTTAAGAATAACCAAATCAGATCGGGTGTTCCATGTGTGCCACCGACATATGGAAATTCCCAAGTCTGGAATGGAATGCGCACTCTCTCATTTGAGCGATGCATCCCGTTCACCTAATTCTGGAGAGAGTTACTAGGTGCAGTTCTGGAGTCCCCGAGAGCCAGAGTATTAGGCGCGGGTTGGCAAGAGTCAAGCCTTGGGGACCCCAGGGTGTGCTCTGGGGTGCTGCTGACCGGCTACAACTGCACAGCTCGCCATTGAGAGCCCTGCGGGCTGGCAAGCCTTCCCACTTGCTTGTCCAGCCGGGACCAGGGCTTTGGTTTGCGGGGTTCCCGGGAGCTGAGCGGGAAGAATGCCTGTCCGCAGCGACTGACGGGTTTGCCCTGCGGAGCCCGAGCCGAGCCCGAGCCCGAGCCCGAGCCCTGCTGAGGAGCCCAGGCTGCGGCTGCCTGCACTGGGCGGTCAGGGACCTGTCAGTCACCCTCACCCTCACGATCCGGGCCAACATTCCGCGGACTGCTGTCAATCAACTCCGCGTCCCGCCCCCCCCCCCGAGCCGCCCTGCTCACTACGCTGATTGGTCGGCCTCGCCGTCAATCAGGGCGCCGGTGACTTCCGGTGTGGGCGGGGTGGGGCAGTGTGAGGGCGCACGCGGGCGGCTGCAGACTCCGGGTCAGCGGTGGGAGTGAGTCAGGTACAGGCGCGCGCTTTGCGTCTCCAGCTCTGGGAGTCCAGGTGCCCAGGAGACAGTGTGAGGGGTGTAGCTGTACCCTCTGTGTGGGAAGCCTGGCTCAGCCCAGCTCAGCTCAGCCCAGCCCAGCTCAGCCCGGGCTGGTGTTCCTGGGAAGCCCAGGGCAGCTCAGCCCAGCTCAGCCCAGCTCAACCCAGCCCAGCCCAGCTCAGCCCAGCCCAGCCCAGCTCAGCCCAGCCCAGCCCAGCTCAGCCCAGCCCAGCCCAGCCCAGCTCAGCCCAGCCCAGCCCAGCCCAGCTCAGCTCAGCCCAGCCCAGCCCAGCCCGAGCTGGTGTTCCTGGGAAGCCCAGGGCAGCTCAGCTCAGCCCAGCTCAGCCCAGCCCAGCCCAGCTCAGCCCAGCCCAGCCCAGCCCAGCCCAGCCCAGCCCAGCTCAGCCCAGCCCAGCCCAGCCCAGCTCAGCCCAGCCCAGCTCAGCCCAGCTCAGCCCAGCCCAGCTCAGCCCAGCCCAGCCCAGCCCAGCTCAGCCCAGCCCAGCTCAGCTCAGCCAGCCCAGCCCAGCTCAGCCCAGGCTCAGGCCCAGGGCAGCTCAGCCCAGCCCAGCTCAGCTCAGCCCAGCCCAGCCCAGCCCGGGCTGGTGTTCCTGGGAAGCCCAGGGCAGCTCAGCCCAGCCCAGCTCAGCTCAGCCCAGCCCAGCCCGGGCTGGTGTTCCTGGGAAGCCCAGGGCAGCTCCCAGCGGAGCAGCACTGACCCGCCAACCCCAGAGTTAGTTTCCCCCAATCGCCACGGGAATGGTTTGATGTCAACAACTTTTTTTTTTGGTCACAGGTGAAACCTCTCGGCTTCACGTGCTGCCGATCGCTAGTCCTTGCGTTCCGAGGCAGAGTCTCTCGCGTCGGGAGGACGTATCCAAGTGTCTCGCAGGATTTGCTGTAAAGTGCAGTGACCGTGTCTTTTGTGGGCAAATACGGCAGACTGTTTGCAACCGCCACGGGGTGAATGACCAGTTTGATGTGTGGATTGGATTGCTGGCCAGGATTGGAACAAACTACCTCTTCTCTTCGAATAGTGGAATCTTTAATGTCCACCTGAACAGCGCAGACAGAACCGAGGTTTAACATCTCATCTGAAGGGCAGCACCTCTGACAATGTCGCACTCCCCCAGCACACAGTTGGATTGTGTGCTTATTGGACTGTTTTATATTTGTAGCAATCTGCTATACTAAATTATTGCTTTGGAATGTCAGCATAGACTGTGGGTTCAAAATCTTGATAGGGGGCTTGAACCCACAAATTTCTCATCCTGAGGTGAGAGTGCTACCGAAGTGACTGATCTCTTCAAAAGCTTCAATGTAAATCACGTCAGGTATTAGTGATATCAAATAATTTTGCTTATTTATAAGGGGCTGCATTTACAAAAAAAAGACAAAAAAATCTGAATATATCTAATTACAAGATTTACCAAAAATCTCAAAAAGAACATGAATGATTTCAAGACAATAATCCAATTGTGTTCAGTTGTTAAACAGTCTTAATTTTTGTTGTGTGCAAACAAATTGTTACTTTTGCCTACTTAAAATGGTTACTTCTGAATTCTTATTGTATTCCTCCTTGGCATATAATGTTTTTAAAAAAAGGGAGCATTAAACTGCGGTTGTGTCTGCTTGTTCAGGTGGACGTTAAATATCTCATTCATATTAATAATAATAATTTTTATATGGCCCCTTATCACATCCTTGAGATATCCATGCATTCACAAGATATACTGTAAAGTGGATTGACTGTATTTTGTGGGCGAAACGCATTACACTATTCGAAGAGAGAAGGCAGCTTTTCCAAATGGCCTTTACTCCAGAGTAATTTGTAACTCCTCATGAATTTTTGTGTGATTTACTAGTGCACAATGTTGCTATGTTTCCTTACAAATGTTACTACGATTGATAGTAATTACTTGCGACGTGCTTTGGGATGTTTTGATATGATAAGGACACTATGACGTCAATATTTCAAAGTGAATAGTGTCATGGGTTGTTCAGTGTTCACCTTCAGGACTAACATTTAAAACGTGTGAAACAGCAGCTGTACAAGACTGATAATCTGCAATGACCCATTTTCTCCATTTTATGGTACAGTGATCGATGCAATAGGGAAACTTCAATTGACTTCTGTTGTGTTACTGCATTAGGGATGGACTAATATTCAAAATGTGGATATGGAATGCGAACCGTGGCTTTCGAGCTGGGAAACTTCATTAGTTAGTGGAACTTCACTACACTCTACTTATTATGGGCGATATTCTGATGGTATTTCTTTATTGGCAGTTTGTGATGATTAGGGAAATATTGTGTTAGTCTGTTTTGAGCATGAGACATTGCTTTCCAGTTTTCAGTTCAGAGCAGATGCAGACTTTTTTTAGTTTCTTTGAGTTTGCATAATATTTGCTTACCACCGGCAATGAAGTAATTATCTTTATATGTTTAAAAAAAAGTTTTGCTACCTGCTGCCTAGTGTTGCCATTGAATCTTTTTCCTTTCTGAAGAAATGCCTCTTCTGCTGGAGAGTGGTTTTATAGGTGACGATTACCTTCTGGTAGTTTAAGTGGCCATTATACGTACCCTGATGCCTTGACAGTAAGTGCTGAGCCGTGTATTCAGCCATAGGAGAGAGTGCAGTTAAGCCATTTCCTGTTCTCATCTGATATTTACTCATGTACACCTTACAGCAGGTGTCTGTTGGTCGTGATCACCAACAGGAGTCCCTGGCTAATTCCTCCTTGTCCAACCCAGGGATATTGAGACCTATTGTTTCCCCCCCGTGCATATATAATAATAATAATAATCCTTGCATTTGATATAGCGCTTTTCACGTCAGGAGGACGTCCCAAAGCGCTTCACAGAACACACTGTAAAGTGAATTGACTGTATATTTGTGGGCGAATGCGGCAGCCAATTGCGCACAGTAATGTCCCACAGACAGTCGTAGATTGAAAATGACCAATTTTATTATTGTTTTTGGTTTTGGAGGGATTATTATTAGGCGTGTGGAGTAAGGAAACTTGCCCAAGGTTTCGCTCTGCCTGGAATTGAACTCAGGTCTCTCGATTGCAAAGCGAGTGCTCTAACCACTGAGTTACAGGACTCCACAAATGCCATGTTTATACACCAGACACAGAAACTGAGCTCTGGATCCCCATTCTCACTTTTTGGTATTCAATGCTTTTGCTTTAAACTGTTCAGTTGTTTCTTTGTAAAAAAAGTGATTTGGGTTTTAGCTGCCATAAGATAAGTGAATGACAAAAGTAATGTGTTCCTCAACAATGTATTCTTTGAATTTGGTGAATTTTACACTACTGAACAAGTGTAATTCTTTGATGAATTCTTTGGTGAATTTTTATGTAATAACTTGGGTCGTCCATAAGGGTCTAAGGTAAGCAACTTACAATTGAGACAAAAAAAAAGGAAAAAGGGAAAATGTTTTGTAGCTTTTTAAAACTAGGCTTAGTTTTGCTGTCATGTATATTAGTAGTATCCTATTGGATGAAAGATCTTTTAGCTATAAATAAAAATAAAACAGAATCTTAACTGCTCTAAGACACCCCTCTACGTGAGGGGTGCTATTTTCTTACACTTGTCATTATACATTTGCCTGATTTATCATAATAATAATCTTACATTTGATATAGCGCCTTTCAATTTGGGAGGACATCTGAAAGTGCTTCACAGGTTTTACTATAAAGGATTACTGTACTGTATCGCGATTGTGTATTTATTTGTAGGTGATTGTGGCATCCAATTTGCATAAAACAATGCATAAAGTCAAGACACTTCACTGAAAAATCTCTGTTTTGCACTTCGATATACTGTCCAGGCTTTGTTATGTCCTCCCGACATAAAAGGAGCTATATACACACAATTTGTTGTTGTTTGCAGCCAAATAATTTAGAAATAATAAGGTGAGATAGCTGGAGACACAGAACATTTGATGACCAACTGACATTTTTGATCTATCTAGCTGGAGCTGGAAAATGACATTGGAAATAAAACCTCAGTTTCTATTGCTGTATGGCTCGGAATTGGGACAAGCAAAGGCTATTGCTGAAGACATCTTTGAGCAAGCATGCAGGAAAGGATTTATAAGTGACATACATTGTCTGAGCCATCTTGATCAGGTAACTATAAAGTAATCTCGTTTGTACAAATTCTGTGGGCTGCCGTGCTATGTAGATTCCCTCAGACCACTCTCCTAGTGAGTGTCCCCACCTCACTGTCCTTCATAGCCTTTAGTGCCTTAGTTTGAATCCTGTGAGCAGAAGACAGCTTATTCACTATTCACTTATTCAGAATTCAAACAATTACAATGCCAGTCCTGCTGTAGTCTTTACAATTAGCCTGAAATTCTGGCTCACTGGACTGGATCTCTCCCATTAGTTGGCCAGACAGGGTTTAAGTAGATAATAATACTTGCATTTGATATAGCACCTTGTCAGGTCAAAGTGTCTTGAAGTGCATAACAGAGATCTTTCTGTGAAGTGTGATACCTGTATTTGTATAGTGCCCTTCACGCTGGGTAGCGTCTCGGAGTGCTTATATATGCCTTGATTTTTTAATAAAATGTATTTTTGGAAAAAACTTTAGTTACAAAACTAATATCATGCTTATTAAATGTACCTCTGTGTCCCTCTGAAAGTGCATGCAGCCGAAGTGGATGCACTTAAAGACAAAGATGTCTAAGTACCTCTTACACAGGCAAACTTCTACGACATTTTTGTGTTTGTGGTTAGTGTTGGACCACTTGTTTGTGCAGTATTTGATTTATTGAATAAATAAACGTTTTAATTTTATGTAATTCATGAAGATAGCTCCATTTGTCTTATCTTTTAATTGTTTCAGTTTAACTTGGAGAAAGCACGAACTCCAGTTGTTTTAGTTGTCTCCACTACTGGATCTGGTGAACTACCGAGAACAGTGAGGAAATTTGCAGAGGAAATCAATTGCAAATATTTACCGGCTGACCACTATTCACACTTAAGATACGCAGTGTTGGGTAATGGAAGTAGTGATTTCTATTTCATTACAATAAAAGTGCTATCAAGTTTTGTGGAGTCCTGTAGCTCAGAAGTTAGGGCACTCGCCTCGCAAGCGAGAGACCCTGGTTCGATTCCCAGCAGGGCGAAATGTTGGGCAAGTTTCCTTACTCCACACGCCTCTGTTTACCTAGCATTAAGTAGGAACCTGGTTGTTAGTTGATTGGTGGATCCCGTTTCCGGGGGTAATAATTCCTTCAAAAAAATAATAATAATAAATTGGTCACTTCAATCCACGACTGATTGTGGGACGCTGATGTATGCAATTGGCTGCCCCATTTCGCCCACAAAATTTACAGTAAATTCACTTTACAGTATATTTTGTGAAGCGCTTGAGATGTCGCGAAGAGATGATAAGACGTTATCAAATGCAAAGATTATTATTATTGATTCATATGACCAAAATATTGCTTCTTGTTCTGTCTAGCTCTTGGAGATTCTAATTACCTGAATTTTGCCAATGGTGGGAAGATAATTGATCGGCTTCTTCAACAGCTGGGTGCACAGCACTTCTATGCAACTGGATATGCAGATGACAGCGTTGGGTAAGACTGGCGATGAGAGTTCCTTATCGTTTTTTTTCTTTCCCTTAATGATTTTGCTCTGACGTTGAGACCTAACCTACCCTTATCGTTCAGAATACAGATTTGTCAGTAATCCCATTATGAGGATGTGAAGTGATATTTTTAACAATCTGCCCACCAACAGCAACAAAATTACATTTGTATAGCGCCTTTCACGTCGGGAGGACGTCCCAAGGCGCTGGACAAACAGAGTTACGGACCCGACCTGTGGGTCAGGTTGGGGGAGGGTGTAGGGCAGGGGGAGAAGCAGGGAGATTGAAAGCACTGTCGAAGAGGAGGGTCTTGAGGTGGGTCTTGAAGGTGGTGAGGGAGGGGGTGAGACGGAGGGACTGCCGGATGGAGTTCCAGAGGGTGGGGACAGAGTGGCGGAAGGCCCGCCCGCCGCTAGTAGGGCGAGCAAGGCGGGGGACGTGAAGCAGGCCGTAGCTCGCTGAGCGGAGGGACCGAACAGGGTGGTAGGAGGTTGGGAGGTTGGAGAGGTAGGGGGGAGTAAGACCATGGAGAGCTTTGAAGGTGAGGACCAGGATCTTGAACTGTATCCTCTGTGTGATGGGAAGCCAGTGGAGTTGGGCGAGGATGGAGATCATAGGGTCGCAGAGCCTGGTGCGGGAGAGGACATGGGCTGCAGAGCTCTGGATGATCTGCAGCCTGTGGAGGGACGAGTTGGGGAGGCCGACAAGCGATGAGTTTGCATAGTCGAGCCTCGAAGTAATGAAGACATATATGAGGGTTTCAGCGGCCTGTGATGTGAGACAGTGTCGGAGCCGGGAGATGTTGCGGAGGTGGGGGAAGGCAGAGCGGGTCATGGCGCAGATGTGGGGTGGAAAGGATAATTGAGGGTCAAACAAGACCCCAAGGTTCTGGACTGGCTCAGTGAGGTGGAGTGTGCAACCATGGATGGTGATGCTGTCAGCGCCTGAGGTGTGGAGGCACTGACGGGAACCAATCAGGAGAGCCTCAGTCTTGTTGACGTTCAACTGAAGAAAATTAGCTCTCATCCAGGACTTGATGTCCGACAGACATTCTGTCAGGACAGCAGTGGTCCTGGAGTCAAGGGTGGAGGCAGAGAGATAGAGGTGGGTGTCATCCGCATACATGTGGAAGTTGACTCCATGTATGCGGATGATGTCACCAAGAGGGCACATAGATATTGAAGAGGAGGGGACCACGGACAGAGCCCTTAGGACCACCGCACGAGACGTTGCGGGGTCTAGAGGAGAAGCCATTTGAGGAGATGAAGTGCAGGCGGTGTGAGAGATACGATCGGAACCAGTCAAGGACAGCGCCATGGCGGTGAGAGGAGAGGCAGTGGATGAGGATAGAGTGGTCGATGGTGTCGAAAGCAGCAGAGAGGTTGAGGAGGCAGAGGGAGCCCTGGTCGCAGATGGACAGAATGTCATTTGTCACTTTGACCAGGGCTGTTTCTGTGCTGTGGGCGGCACTGGAACCAGATTGGAGGGGTTCGTGAAGGGAGTGGCGGGAGAGGAAGGAGCGAAGCTGAGAAGCAACAACTCGTTCCAGGACCTATTATAACTCCTATTATAATGTTAGACTATTGCTTATTGAATTTTGAAGAAGCTGTATGTCCCCATCCCAAAATGTGTATATTAAATACAATCCAGTTATAACCAGATGTTTGGCATCTATAGTGTATTTGACTGCCCGCGTGCTGGTCATATGACACAACAACAGCTACTTGCATTTACATAACGCCTTCATTCGGTGTAGGGTCTCAGAGCGCTTATACTTGCAGATATAGTGTTGCAACAGATAATGTCATTTAGGAATCAGTATGTTGTATGAAGTAATTAATCACCTCTGTAAGTACTTATCCTCATGAACCAGATATTTATTCAGTCACCACAGAGGTATTGATTTGGAGGGTGGGTGTTTTGCTGCAGGAGGAACTTAAATCAGAGCAAGTGATGCCACTGTACAATTCTCTGTTGCCTCTTAGTGGCTGTCAGAGTAGGATTGGAGGGGGTATGGGAGAAGGTTCCTGAGTCAAACAAGGAGTACAGTAATAGCTAATAATAACCCTTGCATTTGATATAGTGCCTAATCACACCATCAAAACATCTCAAAGTGCTTCATAGGATTTTTACTGTGAACTGCAGTGTGTATTTCATATTTTTTGGATTACATTTTGTACTGGAATTTTGACGATTACTGTGTTAGCATTGCAATTATCATGATCCTGTTTTAATAGCCTAAAAAAGAGCTTTAGTTATGTGGTTATCAAAGAAGCTCACTCAGTTAATTCTCAATTTTCTTTGTTTTACCCTAATTGATGCAAATTATTATTATTAATAAAACCAAATGATTAGAAGTAATAATTTAAATGATTCCTACTAAGTTAATTAGAAACTTATTTTATATTATTGTTACATATAAAACCTTTAATATTGTTTATTAAACAGTTAAAGTGTGTAGTATTTAGTGTGTATCTAGCTTGTAGCGATGTAGTACATTCTGCCGCGAGATAAAGTTGAGATATTTCTTGATGTCTTCTTTTCCACGACTGAAGAGAACAACAGGAACTTCAATAAAATATAATGCAATTATTAAGGCATTCTGCTCCTAGAACCAATATAATAATAATCCTTGCCTTTGATGTAGCGCCTTATCATGATGCCATTGAAACGTCTCAAAGTGCTTCACCGAATATTTTGTAAAGTGTAAATAGAACTGTATTTTGTGGGCGAAAGGCGACACCAATTGCGCACAGCAGTGCCCCACAAACCGTCGTTTCGTGTATGGTTTATGTGCATATTTTATTGCCAAGATGACGTGCAATGTTTTATTTTATGCTGTAAGTCCATCTCAACAGTGTTTGAAAACTAATGTTATTCGTTCTTATGTAGATTGGAATTAGTTGTGGAGCCGTGGATTGAAGGCCTTTGGGCTGCCTTGAGGGAATCGTGCTTGTGCAATATGTCGGTGTGTCAGGAAACAGAAGAAATGAGCACTGCGGTAAAGAAGACGTCCGAAACAAATGACTCTACAGGAACCAGTGAAATTGAAGGAGCACAAAATTCTCTGATCACGGAAATTCAGTTGATGAGACTGGAAGATCCAAGGACTGACGCTTCAGTTCTTTCAACTTCGTGTACTGGACAAGATCAAGTGGCGGCTGAGATGCACTCTTTTCCACTTCCTACCTGGGTGAGATCTGAACAACCACTGTCAGAGTCTGCTCTGAATATCCCTAATCTGCCATCAGAGTACCTCCATGTGGAGTTTCTGGAGAATACAGAGCAGGTAGGACTCTGTGAATACATTCTTCCTGATTTTATTTTGCGCTGTTTGGTTGCACTTAGTTAACTTCTATTGAAAGCTTGGTCCAAAGCCATTCGACACATTGAGCTCTTCCTGCCAAAACCCTTGTCGTGTTTGTTGGATTCTGCCCAGTTTAATTTCTGCTCAGGGAGTTTAATAATTGCAAGTAAATCATTGCAAAAAGTAAATTAATCCCTGTGGCAAAGATAATCGAATGAATTTCCAAAATGTCAATCCATTGTTAGAAACTGCATTATTTGATCTTGATCAAAGTGCATTACCATCACTGCCACTTCCACATTCCCACAGCCCAGGAATTTAAAAAGTTTCATAAAATAGTTTATCCCAATGAACTTATCTTCATGAACTAGATATTTATTCAGTCATTGATTGCTGTTGTTGAAGTCTGTTCCAAGTGTCTATTCCAAACATCTATTTGCTCTGTTTGTTGGGGGTGTAAGAAGTGATCTTCTACCATTCTCCACTGTTTGAAGCATGTTCAATTTTTTATTCCTGTCCTACACTTCTATACACATTGTTTAACATTGATAATTAATGACATTTGTTATCCATGTTTTTCAGGACATCAGACCTAGATCCTGTCACTGAAACCCAGTTTAATTTTTTGAGAGTTCAGTACACCACAGTACATTGCCTCAGTAACTTCATGGAAATTAGACAGTGTTATAATTGTGTTATCAATGCAGATCTCTCTTGGCATTTCAAGACCATGAGAAGTTACTTTCAGTCAACAGTTAGAAGATACATGCGTTTTAGCTGAGCAGAGGAAAGGCATTTGTAAATCAACTTCGAACCATGAATTCCCAGGGATTGTAGTGGATGTCAGCCATTTCAAGATTTGGACCTAACCTATGTGAAGCACTTTTATAAGGGGCATGGACTAGGGAAGGAGCCAACCCTTTGGGGGCAGTGAATAACATTTGTGTTTTGGGGAATCAGAAATTATACAGTAAATGGATTGGATATAGTCTATTGTAATGTTTTGGTTCCTCAATGAGGAGTCTGTTTGTTGTTTGCGCTCTTCCATTTTTAGCTCTTGCTAAAGCACTTTGGGGAACAGTACTTAATAATAATAATCCTTGCATTTGATATAGCGCTTTTCACGTCGGGAGGACGTCCCAAAGTGCTTCACAGAACACACTGTAAAGTGAATTGACTATATTTGTGGGCGAACGCGGCAGCCAATTGTGCACAGCAATGTCCCACAAACAGTCGTAGATTGAAAATGACCAATTTATTATTGGTTTTGGTTTTGGAGGGATTATTATTAGGTGTGTGGAATAAGGAAACTTGCCCAAGGTTTCGCCCTCTGCCTGGAATTGAACTCAGGTCTCTCGCTTGCAAAATGAGTGCTCTAACCACTGAGCTACAGGACTCCACTTACTAGTGTTTCTGGGTCTTTAAATCATTGCCGAGATTCATCCGTGTCTACAGATGTCCTGGCAGCACAATTCACTGGATTTCATATTTCTAAATAATTTCATGATAGCGGTGTTTGACCTGAGGCATTGAACTGAGGGTAAGGAAGGCGGACACAAGCTGCAGATCATCCAGAACTCTGCAGCTCGTGTCCTCTCCCGCATCAGGCTTTGTGATCATATCACCCTCACCCTTGCACGGCTTCACTGGCGCCCCATCCCCCAGAGGATAGAGTTCAAAATCTTCGTCCTCGCCTTCAAAGCCCTCCATGGCCTTGCTCCTTCCTACCTCTGAGACTTGCTGACCCCATATCAACCTGTCCGCTCCCTCCACTCAACATGCTCCGGGCCTTCAGCTTCTCTGCCCCCACCCTTTGGAAATCTATCCCACAGTCCCTTCATTTTGCTCTCTCCCTTGCCTCCTTCAAAGCAAGTTTCAAGACCTTCCTCTTCGACCGCTCATTTGTCCACCCTCCTACCTCTACCCTCCCTGCTCTCTACCCCTCCTGATCCCAATCCCAATACTAGGGTCCAAATGCTTGGTCCAGGACCTCGGGACGTCCTCCTGATTTGAAGGGCCCTATACAAATATAATTTATTGTTGTTGTGGACAAAATGGGGGGGGCAAAAGAAGGAGAAGCGATGAACATTTCACCATATTACAGATCAGCTTGTTTTGAAGCATTGGCCCTCTTGGGCTGAAATGGAGATTGGGGGATAGGTGGGAATTGTCCTGGTGGCAGAACTGATAGGATTGGGTGGAGAAGCAGGTTCAGCAACCATGTGGATGCAGTAGATATCGTTCACTTCTTTCTTTTTATTAATAATTTGCTTAAATTTTGTGAAATGATTTTGATGATACTGTGTGTTTTGGGCTGTTTATAATAATCCCTGCATTTGTATAACGTCTTATCGTGCCTTCTAGACGTCTCAAAGCGCTTTGCAGAATATACTGTAAATAACTGTATACTTGTGGGCGAAACATATATTTATGTGCTAGAATAGGTTGATTTTTCTGAATGTGTTATTCTCTTCTCGCTGCTTAATCCTTAGGTTTGCGTCCTGGAGTGCCTCCCTATGATACAGCACACTGTGTTCCAGGTACCAGTGACTCGAGTCATGCGCCTTACCCGGGAGGATGCAGTGAAAACCACATTACTCTTAGAACTTGACATTTCGGTTAGTCCTTTCCTGGTATTGTTTTGTAGTCGATTGTAATTCATTAGCTGTTTATGTAGTTTCCTCACCAGTAACTATACGATGGATTGTTCCAGGAGAGGGGATTATATGCTTCCCATGTGCTTTCAGAATGTCTCCTCTCACTTCTTGCTTTCCTTTTTGATTAATAGTATTAATCAATGTTAATTATCACCCCTCTAACTAATAGAGAATGGATAAGATGTCTAAAAGGGAGCTGGATATTAAGGGATTTGGAGAACAGCTGGGAGAAATTGGATGAAAAGATCTGACATGATCTAATAAACTGTTGGAAATGGTTTTCTATTTTTCCTATACAAATATAATAGAAGTATATTCCCATTATTTTCCAGAAAACATCATTTACTTATGACCCTGGGGATGCTTTCAACATTCTGTGCCCTAATAGTAGAGATGAAGTGGAAGAACTGATTCAGAGGCTTGGACTTCAATACAAGAGAGAACATTGTGTCTCCATCAGTATCCGAACCAACACCAAGAAAAAATGTAGGAAGGAAATAAAGGAACTAATTGCTGTGTTAAGTTTACTCGTCAAACAAATTATAAATTGCAGCAATATTTTAAAAAATAGTGTGAATTGAATCAGAAAATTGTGATTTTATTTGACTTACTTCCTGATAAGATCTGCTGTTATAGGATCAGCTATTATGTTTGATGTGTTAACACCAGCCCAGGCTGCCACGACCCTTCCTTCCGCCCGTCTCCCAGATTAGGGAGATGGAGATTTTCATCGGGTTTTTTGTTTGAAACAAAAATGTTTTATTTTTAGGAAATTAATTTTGTTAGTAGCAGATTGGATTTTCAAGTTTTTTTTTACAATATTCAAACGCTATTTGGGTCAAAGCATCACCATAAGGAATACTCCATGAAAACCTCTGTGTGATCAGGCATGTAGCTGGAATTCCTGTAACTTAAATATAGCAATAGTAATATCCACATCCCCATTAGCTAGAATTGGCTGGATTTTGTTCAGTGCACCTTCCAGTTCTCCAAGCTGTGTTCATGCTCATTTGTTTTGCTATTGTTGGGGTAAGTGGAGATGGTGCTAACTTCTTGTCCAAAGGCACAAGTCAATGAGCCCGAATCGGTTTGGAAAGGAATCCATTAGTTGGCAGTGTATTCAAAGTATGAGGATCTGTTTGGGGTAAATGTGATCTTTAACTTTAAGATCATAAATTATTATTATGAGAGGAACCAAAATTGGGAGGGGGAGATTTTGATTAGATTATAGGTGCATGATCATTTGCTAAATTATTGCTTATTCCCTGTCAGTGAAAACCTGTTTAATTCTATGTATCTTTAGTTCTACGTTCATTAAACTTTGTTTAAGGGGAGTGGGATATCTGCATCAAAATTGGTTAAATTAAACTTCAGTTCGTTTTTTTTGTCTTGACATTTCAAGATCAAAGGAAGATTAAGGTAAGTAACTTCAATACTATCTTGCCTGCACCAGCAGACTAGATATAAAAGTGGAGTTTGTTACACTGTTATACTGACAGGGATCTGAATGTTTTTTGTACATCCTTCTGAACTCTGAAAATTCAGCCCAGTAATACGATTATAGGTTTTTGTCCTTACAAAAAAGTAATGTCCTGACAGAGTTTTCTGAAGTATGCTGGCAAAACCTTTGTCTCTGAGGGGTGATAATGGTAATAATAATAATCCTTGCATTTGATATTGTGCCTTATCATATCTTAGAGACGTCTCAACGCGCTTCATAAAATATACTGTAAAGTGAATTGACTTTATATTTTGTGGGCAAAACTCAATTTGAGCTGATAGTATTGCACAAGAACCATTTTGTCTTAAATATGTTGTTTTTTTGTAGCACATTAATACAAATATACTGAATCAGCCTAATGACAACACTGAAATTGTGTTATTAGATTGGGTAAGTGGGAGCAAATGAGTGACGGGATCAATGGGGCACCAATATAGAGAACAGCACCAATACGTCTGGAATATTATTGCTATACAAATCGATTGACAACATGGCATTGCAACCACGACTATTGGAAAGAAAATCTCTTTGGTTGGCACAGGCTCTCTTCAGCCTAGCCCTTAAAATTGCTGCCCAGAGAGTTGGCCATTAGCAGGTTTATGTATTTGGTGCAGTTATTTACACATTAACAATTGAGAGTCATAACGTTCAGCTCAATAAATCCATTAACTTATAGGAATACTTTGAATTGAGAATAGTTTAAAGTTTAAGACATAATGATGGGACATTATGACAAGATACTTTGGTGCTGTAATATTCCTGAGAGGTTGTTTTGTGTTAGTATTGAAAACTGTAAATGCACGTTTACTAGAACTCTTTTGTCTGTCCTGAGACAAATTCTGAATTCTTGTTACATTGGAATGATTGTTCAAATATTTTTTCTGTCTTATTAAGGTGCTAACCTGCCTGAGTACATACCAGAGAGAAGTACCCTACAGTTCATTCTAACCTGGTGCTTGGAAATACGATCCATTCCTAAGAAGGTACAATCAGATCTTCTGGGATTTTGCTTATAGACTTTGGATGATTGCCAGTGGCACAGTATAATTTGAAGGAGATGGCTATAGTCCTCCAGAATGCCACTTTTTTCATTTCCCCTGTGTGTTAATGGTGCTCTTTTGCAATGCTGAGTTTTCCAGCCTATTTCTTTTCCATTCCTGTACATTCATTCCTATGTATGATTTTAGCTGGGTAGACTCCAGCAACACCCTAATGCACACTCTCGGGTCCCCAAGCCCTGGCTCTTGTCAACCTGCGCCTAACACTTTCCAGAAATAGGTAAGCAGGAATGTGTTCCTCCAGGGAGAGAGTGCGCATTCCATTCCAACAGTCTATCTCTGTGATTTCTATGTGTAGGTGGGATAAATTTTCAGCTTGGTTTGGATATTCTTAAGCATGGGGATGGGTTTCCACATGTGTCAGACACCCGGCTGACCCCTCCCCTCCAAAAAAAATCCAATGTGCAAATGGCTATAAGGCATTGATCAAGATTGGAATAAGGGGCTCGAAGTAACTGGAATTTTGTTCATTTACTTTTTTGGCCCTGATAGCCCACTTCTGTACTCGTGTGCATAATAAAATAAACGAGAAACCTGCCTAGGCTACTGGCGTGGAGATTGACCTGGTTGTAAGTGGAAACCAAGGAGTTACGAGTGTTACCTTTATGTGAGTACAAACAATCATGCTCACTGTAATGTCGAGGGCAGGGGTGTGACGAGGGAAAGTTAAGGGAGAGTTACGAGGCGGCTGTCTGATAGCGAGTTCCTTACTTTTGTGTATTTAATTGTAGGCGTTTATACGAGCACTGGCTGAGTACACCTCAGACGCTGGCGAGAAACGACGACTACAAGAGTTGAGCAGCAAACAGGGTGCTGCAGACTATAACCGCCACATCAGAGACTGCAGGATCTGCCTACTTGACATTCTCCATGCTCTCCCATCGTGCCATCCGCCACTAAGCCTACTTATAGGTCAGTCATTAACCTCTATTTTGGTGCTTCTGCTATTTTGAGATACCGATTGCTGCAAATGCACAGGCAGGTCAATTAACATCTGTATGCGAGATTCATTTATCGGCTGTGACTCAAAAAGTTGACAATTTAATTTTTCTCAGATTTTGCCAAAGGGCTAGTTCAGATATTCACACTCAAAACAATCTCCCCTTTCCTCCCAGGTACTAGTTGACCTGCTGTGCACATCCAGCATTTCCTGTTACTCTCGCAAATTGTAAAAGCAAGACCTGTTAATTGGAGTGATGTGTTCTTTAAGCATTCTACCCTGTGGTTAGTCGACTTTGACAATATTAACTTTTGAGATGTTTCAAATGAATTTGATAATTTGTCCTCATTGAAACCCCTATTAGAAAGGTTCTATTTTGGGGTTTGGGGAAGTTGTTGGGGGAGGAGACAGAACAGTAGAAAGTTTAACCGTTTGGTTTAGTGTTGGTGCTATAGTATGGTAACGATATAGTTGTCTTATATCTGAAACAAGGTGTTTAAATAGAAGCTACTGATGATGGGGTGGGGAGGAAGAGAGAGAAAAGGAGAAATTGGACTAGCGCATTCATTTGTAATGAAGCCAGTCGCTTGACACAGTATCTCCTCTTGGCTCAGTTGGTAGAACTCGTGCCTTTTGGTCAGAAGATTGAGGATTCAGGTTCCACGTCAAGTCAGCATTGTTTTGTTGAGACATTACACTGAAGTCCTAAGTTCCTGTTCAGGTGAATGTTAGATCCCATGATGATCCCAGTGCTATGAGACGCTACTCGTGTGAAGGGCACTATATAAACACCAAGATTTTGGTGGTGGTATTCAAACAGTGCCTCTCCTGGTGTCCTAGCCAACAATATGGTCTTCTCATGCTTGGTTGTGAGTCCTTCCTGACACGATGGCTGTTATGTTTCCTACAGTCAGTTCATTTAACAGCAATTGCCTTGTATGTGGAGTGTATACTTGCTGCCCGTAGGGTGCACAATTGCTTCATGGTGCTTGTATAACTATTATCAGACTAAAAGTTTGCTGCTTTTCTAAAGTTTGCTGAGTTTGCCCCTTGAAATAAACTTTTGCTCATACATGGAAGATGAGGATTGCTGTTAACTGGTGTGAATACCTAAGGGATTCGTGTTTGGAGTAACTTTTGTTAGAAATTCCTACTTGGGAATCAACAGCATTTAAAAGCAATAAACTCTACATTTGAAGATAAAAGTGAATGACACAAGGCTGCCAAGCAATAAAATAGCAAAGCATTTCACATCTAGAGATACAGCATATGAAAGTTGGTTTCATTTGAGAGTTTGATAAATTGTGCAATTTTATCTTTAAGCCTGTTGGGGAAATTGTGTAAAGTATTGTTTTTGTATCTCTCAGCAAGTCCCTCTGAGTGCACCAGTAAATATATATTCTGTAGCTGCTTTGAAACTCTGATTACTGGCTTCTGCTGTTGTGTGGTCTTCCAAGAACCGCTGTGCCTCAAGCAGAATTGTTTTTTAATCGTTTTTATTTTTCAGCTGNAAAAAACATGCATTTCAAAAAATTTTTTAGGCAACTGTGTGATTTGCCCGCAAACTATGCAGTCAATCCATTTTACAATATATTCAGTGAAGCGCTTTGAGATGTCTCAATGAGGTGAAAAGGCTCTATATCAAATGCAAGGATTATTATTATATAGTATATTATGAACTATTTATGATGTATAAAATATTGTGGTCCTAAATGTGCACCGTTCTACAAAGAACCTCTTAAATTATCAAACCACAAAATAGCGAACTTTCAAAGTTAAAGAGCCAGAGAATTTATTTAGACAATTTTCAAATGTCTAGTTATTTGAAAGCCCTTTTGTCTTGGCTTGCTCCCTTGAGAGGTTATCATCCCAACGTATAGCTGTGCTGCCTTATGTACCCAATCTGGTGATGAGTACTTGCCTTTAAAGCAAAAGAACCAAAAGAGGGCAGCAGAGTCGAGCAAAAAATAAGTACTGTAGTCATTGCTTGCCCTCACGCATTGATGCCTTGTTGCAAAAAAATTAGTTGTTTGAATAAAATTTGTTGTGTCTATTATCTTTCTCAGTCGCAGAATCCATTAACTGGCCCTTTTGAGCTGACCAGTTGTTGGTCTAAATTAATGCTGTTCACAATGGACTGACTATGTGAACGATCAAGTTTACATTAGATCAGTAGCATTTTGTTTTGTTTTCTCCTTTTCCTGGAAGGGGGAATGATATGGTCTGTGGGACATAGTTACTTGGGTATGACTTGCCCTTAGGGTAACTAAGTATTCCGAGACATTATTCTACATTAACGGCGTTATATAAATGCAAGTTGTTGTCTTGACTAAGCAGCTATTCTTTATGTGTGAACCTGGACAGTTTGGGCAAGTATTATGACAATGGGGTAGACATCATAACTAAACCATCGCTTATCTCAGGTTCACATGTGTGTACATTTCACTGGAGGTCATTGAAGAGCAGTTAGGAGAGAGAACTCTCTTTTTCATCTCCAAAAGCCCTGAAGTACTGAGGTCAATTGTTGCGTCCCACCACACTATTTGTATCACCACCCTCCTCCTGCAAGAGAACAGCTAACTCAGCATATACCAGTGATTGAACCCAGGACTTTTCAAATTTGTATAACTCAATACTGCACAGGGCAATGCATTGTCACACCAGTTTATCAAGGGAACCACAGTGCATTCTACATTGGGAGAGTTGATGTGCATTTACTTGTGTTTGACTCCAGTAAAAACGTACATTCTTGGAAGAACGCAGAGGCATTTTTTTTCAAAGGGGAATTCGAATAGAATAGGTGTGTGTGGGGGGAGGGGAAACGGGAGCGCAGGCAATATTGGCTGAAAGACCTGTTTCTGAGCTGTAATATTCTAGGAAGTTACATTTTCTGTACATCCAGTCTTTGTTCTGTAGATTTCAGTTGAAGAAGTTGCTGGAGAAAGAACAATTTCTCTTTGAGCCACGATCAACATCTCCTTGGCCAATTATTGCAAAGCCCAGATCAGAGTTTAGTAGCTCACCACACAGTCCTTCAATCCAATATCCACCGCCACCACCGCTCTAGTTCCCATCGCGGTCTCCCTGTTTGCCTCTCTAATCGGCGGTTCTGCCCAATTAGCGCTGAATAATCTGTGTGTTTGTGCATTGCGGCAGCCCAAACCAACAGGGATTTTGCCTAAATCCAACTGTAAATAAGCCAAAGAAAGAGAGAGAGACAGATACTTCTAGTATTTTATACTCTAGCCAATAAATTTGTGTAGGGTGAAACAGAATTTACTGGCCGATTGGTTGGTTTCTCTAGTATAGATACATATTTGTGGGTATCATTTTGCATCCAGGATACAAAATTTCTGTTATCTCTTCACTGTAATGTTTTTGTTGTAGCTATATACAATGATCAAAGGGAGTTTCATTACACAGATGTCAGAGAAGAGTACCAAGGATGTAAAATCAGGTCATTGGGCTGTAAGGTAGGAGAAGAGCTTTGTTGTCACTTGTGTAAATACTTGATCAGGAGCAGGGCTGGGTGGTTTAGAAATGGTTGTAGACTGATGAGACCTAATACTCTAATGGGATATGCGTGGTTGGGTGCAGGACATTGGATATGACTTTATAAAAAGGCAGGCTTGATGGGTCTTTTCTCATTCCATGATATTTTTCAATATTTAACTTTGCTCTGACTTTAGTGTTGAATCTTGCTTTCTGCCCCCCTCCCTCCACCCTTTCTTCCACGCTTTGATCCAGTGTCCTAAATAGTGTTCAACAGCAGTAGAAATTATGATTAAAGACCCAGTCAAAATAATAAAATCAAAATGTCAAATCAAATTTCTTATGCATTATGAAGAGTTTCAATGACATGATAAGGTGCTATATGTAATCCTTGCTATACAAGGATTATTATTATTGACTCTCAGAATTTCTGTCACTGCTTCACAAATCTCTTGCCTTGTTCATCCATTCTGGGGGATTTGTTGGTTTTCAGCCTCTTGAACCTATCTTGTTCCATGTGTTGCCTGCAAATACGCAGTCACTCTACTTCACTGTAAATCCTATGAAACGCTTTGAGACATCCTCCTGAAGTGAAAGGCACAATACTAATACAAGGATTATTATAAAATTCTGTATCTGCGAGATGTTGGGAAGCGGGTTTAATGTCATCCTGGTTAAAAACAACAACTTGAATTTATATAGAATTTATATTCACATAGAATAACATCTCAGAGCGCTGCAAAACATCCAGAAAATAAATGTTTAATATATTTGCTCTCTTCCATTCATTTTCTTTCAGAACTCCCTTGTACATCTCAGTGATACAGATCTGGATAATATCCACTAAATGTTCTTTAGATTAAACAATACAATTTTTGTGTTGAATGCTGAGTTTATTCTGTTAATTTAGTGGCAGACTGTGCTACAGTTTAAAAGTTCATCGATCAGTAGCTATAATATTTCATAGAATGTCACTGCATGGTAACAGGCCATATGGCCCAACTAGTTCAAGCCGGGCTCATGCTCATGAAAATGAGTATAGGATTTGACCGAGTTTTGAAATGAAGGGAAATCATTGATAACATTAATGGAGGCTGGGATCAAGACTTCTTAACCTTTAGGGCAGGAATGAGAACAATTGGATCTTCCCATTAACAGAACCTTGTACTACAAGTTTTTGAATGGTCCAGGAAAGAAGTTTACTCTTACAAATGAGAAGTCTTTAGTGATCAATTTACAACATTAATCAGGGAAGTGCAACTCTTCCAGCTGGGAGAACATATTGTGTCTCTGTGAAGAAATGAGAAACGACTTGTTTTGTTTCACTTCAGTAGTTTTAATGTATTTGGGAGTATTTTATGTTGAAATTACTGTATTTGCTTCTGCCGTCCCAAGAAAGTATTGTTCTCTTTGGTTGTTCCAGGGTTACAACTATTGAGGTTCACGTGTGAAACAGGGCATGGTAACAGAGGGTGTCTGGAGCCCCTATAACTATGCCTCTAATACTCAATTCCCTTAAGAGAGAAAAGGAGAAAATTGCTGGGAGTGTGGATATAAGGTTCGGATTTCGAAATGCCTTTGCTGAGGTTTTCCCATGCAATACTGGTTGAGTTAGGAAGCTAAACATTCCTGGCTAATGGGTTATCAGGTCATCATCAACATCACTTCCTGTTTTGTTCACGTTCGTGGTGTCGGCGTAGTCCTGGTAACCTGAAAGTTGACNTTTTTCTAGCGTAGGAAGCAAGCCAGCCGGCTGAGCACATGAGCAGTGAGAGCAGCTATTGTGACCGCATTATAGTCAGTGTCCGCCTGGCTCGGTTGGCCACACTCTTGTCTCTGAGGCACAAGGTTGTGAGTTCAATCCCTGTCGGGATCTTGAGCTCACAATCTAGATTGACGTTCCAGTGCAGTGCTGGGGGAGCATTGGATTGCCGGGGTTGCCATCCTTCGCGTGAGATATTAAATCGAGGTCCCATCAGCTTGTTCAGATGCACGTTAACTCAAGACAGAAGTAAAGCACAGTCGTTGTTTGTGTCCTAATCCAAGTTGCACAACAATTCAACTGATGTGACTGTAGCAGATCAGGATTTTTTCTGAAATTACTGCTTTGGTATATTAGAAAACGTCAGTGCACTGATCCTTGTGTAGATGCTGTGCTGTGCAGGTCGGAAAGTTGTTTCCTAGCAACTGCATAAATAATCGCCACTGTGAAAAAAAAGCCACATTTCATGGCTGTAGTTTGTCAAGGTACAGTATAATTTCAGCTTGGGAAATCTAACTCCAGTCTAACAGTGAATATTAAGAATATTACTCATTATCTAGATTACCAGCTTTGGCTAATAAAAAGTGCATGGAAATGATTCTTGCATGTGATTTATCTTTGAAAATGCACATTTAATTTCTCAAAATATTTTATTGAGCCAAATTTCTGCCTATAGGTTCTTCATTTTGGAAGTTTACATCAATATCAAAATATTCTGAGGAAATTTTGGAAAGTAGGCAGACTCCCATGCCTTCAAAAAGTAATTGCTGGAGCATGTTTTCATAGAATTAATGATGCATATTCACAATGAATGTGCTACTTTATCACTAATTCCTTTTGAGATATATCCATTTCTTCAGAGTTCTTTGCAAGTAACCTGTGTTACTTAAAAATAACTCTGGAGTATTTACAGTATGGGGTCTGCAATGACCTTAAATTCTCCTATTCTAAACCGTTTTATACCTGACTGATTGATGTGAAGCAATTCCCTTTCAGCGGCTTGTGTTTTGAAGGATAATACAAATGTTGTAGTTTGTACTAAAAGTTACCCCATTTACTGAAATCTTGAGGCGTAAGGCAGAATTTTACTATCTTCTGCAGTTTGTATTGGTGCAGAAATCCATCTTGTTTAGTTCTGAGTCTGCACTGGTTTTATGTAACGGTGATGAAGTTCATATGTTACTGTGCTGCCTTTTGGGAGCAGCTTGACGTCACAGTTAGATGGCTGCACTATCATTACTGAACCAACAACAACATCAACAGCAACAAGCTTTGATATGCAGCAAGAATGGTTTCTTTCAAGTCTTTGTATAAATTGTTAGAACTCACTTATCTATAATATAAAAGCTATTGGTTATCTAGAGTGGCGAGTTAGGCGTATACTGTATATCAATACATAAATAAATGTGGCCGGGATATTGACAGCAATGATGACTTGAGTGTTAATGATCAGTTAAGCCAGGGTCGAATTATCAGAAGTTAACATCATATTTGTTGCTTCTCAGTGCATTCCCTTTCAATCCCAGCTTTATATCTTTATACCTTTATATATCTTTATAAATGCTTTTCTGTTTCAGAGCATCTTCCGAAGCTACAAGTCCGATCATATTCAGCTGCAAGGTAACAAATACTGTATTAGGTACTGTGATTTAGATTCAAAACCTACTTACACCTCTCTGATAGAAGCAAATATCATATCAGCTATTTTGTGAAAACTCAGCTCGGGTCTAAATCCCTCATCATCCAGCGCCTTGGGACGTCCTCCTGATGTGAAAGGCGCTATACAAATGTAATTTGTTGCTGATTGCTGTTGTCAGTAACCCGAGCCTAATATTCTCAGGAATTGAGTAAGCAGAGTCATCAGTCCTGCAGTGCAGTATTCATTCCATATGGGAAATTTCCATGCGTAGGTGGCATACATATCTGCAAATCTATCTGGTTCAGAATAGGTGATGGTTTCTGCATATGTCAGACAACCAGATAAACATCCCCAACCCTCAACCTGGTGTTTTTTTAATGGGGAGTAATTTTAAATTGATGGTTATAAAAATTATATATTTGGATGTGCAATTTGTTGTAATTAAATATGCGAAGTCTTAGAATTCTCATAATGGCTCAGTGATAAAATAACTGGTATAGCAATGATCCAGCCAGAGCAGGCAGGAATCAATGGGGGGAGGATGGATGAAGCTACAGTTCTGATGCTGGGTGGGGGGGGGGGGGGGCGATGGGCAATGAGCTGGGCTGCCTGATGTTCACCATTGTCCAGCAACCTTCATTGGAGAGTGTTCACATGTGGATGTCAGTTGAGAATAGGATTGGACATGGTTCTCTTTCCCACCTACCACCACCTCTCCCACCCCCCTTACAAATAGCTTGCTAAAACTGCAGGACTTGTATATCTTGTATATCAGTGTGTATATAAATAATGTCAACTTAACAAGCTATCGGAGCCCTGGGAACCATACCCAGCTTTCAGGCATTAGCAATATTGTTGATTAAAAATTTGTACCTGCCGAAGAAGCCTGAGCTCTGTTTAGCGCTCAATAATAAGTCACTTGCTGAGAGTAGATGCTAAGCTTTGTATAACAGGCAGAAATAAATGCTTAGTGCTTCATAGTGTGTTCTTAAACATTTGTTTTTCAGCTCTCCTAATTTTTATCCTGGCAAAATTCACTTTGTTTTCAATATTATTGAGTTCCCATCCTGCCCGGAGCGCCCTGTTGCCCGAAGGGGGGTTTGCACAGGTTGGCTTGCGGAACAAGTCACGCCAATGCTTCAGTATCAAGGCAAGCCTGTAGAAGATGCCAATGGGTTGCAGAATGGGTTAATAACAATAATGCCACAGGTATGAATCTGAGAAAAAGGTGGAACACTTTCTTGTTCCATTACAGCAGCCTGGTTATATCAGTAGTGCATTATTCAAGTTGATGTTTTTTAATATTGTGCAAAATGGTATTAAGCTCACCTTGTCTTTGACCACCTCCATGATTACCACCCCTTTCCCCTTCATCTTCCCCCCACGACTGTGATCAGCATCTGACCATATCACTGAAAATGCTCCCAAGATTTTATTCTACGTGAAGAGTTCTACATAAATGCAAGTTGTTGTAAAGTGTTCGAAATTAAATAGCAAGTGGAAGCTTCACCTTCCAGAGGAATACTAACACATTCATTTTGGGAAATTTAAGAAGGAAAATACACAATTAAAAGTCAAAGCATTTTTTGAAGTTGGATTCGTAGAAGAAGTAAATCAGCCAAAATAATGGATGAGAGATGTGGTCGGGTGCAAGCGAGGACAGGCTGAGAGCACAGTATTTCTTGTTTGGCAGGTTAGCTATGAGGGAGAAAGTAACTTTACAAAACAAATGAAGATACAACAGAGGGAAAAAGAAGAGGACAATAGGAATTGTTAAATAACATGATGCTGCCCTGTCAACCTACAAATCATTACATTGAGTTGAAGATGATAAATAGATTTCACCAATGACATTTTTGATGCCTGATGGCTAATGATTTGGAATATGGATTTATTTTTATTCCAGTTTTTGTGACCACATAGCTTTAAATACAGTGGAAGCCCCATAGACCAGACACACAGGGGCCGGGCGTTTTGTCCAGCTTAAATGGCGTCCGAGGTTAACCAAAGTTCTCTTACCTCTTCCCACCCAGCAGAGGAGCAGCAATGACGCCACCTCTCTCTCATTGCCGTTCCCATTGGATGGGAAGGGGACCAATTAGCAGTGAATCAATCGGAATTTGACTCCTCCCGTAATCAGACGCAGAGGTGACCCCACGTGGGAATAGCTAGATTTTTGTCCAAATTAACTGTCATTTAAAACTTCTAAGAATACAAATGCATCGGGGCTGGGCATTATCTCTGTTTTACTCGGAGTCCGAGGTTAACCAGTGTCCAGGGGAGCTGAGGGTGGGAGGGTTGCTGAGTGGGAGGAGAGGGGCTGAGTGGGAGGAGAGGAGCTGAGTGGGAGGAGAGGAGCTGAGTGGGAGGAGAGGAGCTGAGTGTGGGGAGAGGAACTGATGGAGGGGGGAGCTGAGGTGGGTGTGGGGTAAGATGTCTGCAATTGTGACCGAAGAGGTCAATCTTATGGCAGGTTTTAAGTCTAAAGAGAGGAGGGGAGCTGGAGGGACTCTAGGATACAGTTCCATGAAATATGTTATTCTTGATTTTCATTAAAAAAAACTTTGTTTTATAGATTTCCATCTACAGTCGTCCAAATGCCTTTTTCCATCTGCCAAACGATCCTGTGGTTCCTATCATTATGGTGGGCCCTGGTACTGGTCTCGCACCCTTCATAGGATTTCTACAGCACAGGTAAATGATTTATTGATGTCAAGTCGTTACTGTACACACATTCTATTTCTGTGTCAGTTATTTGTATTTTGGCAAGAGTCAACGTTCTCTTCGCTGTGAAATATGATTGTTTGCAGTATCATTGTACAGTCGAACCTGTTCAAGCAGTCACCTCCAATCAGCAACTGCCCCCGTTAACAACCACCCTGGAACAGCCTCTTCAGTGTAGTTCACACACCGATGAACCTTTACATGAAAGCGATCCTTATATAAAGGCCACTTTGGCCCAGTTCCCTGAGAGATTGCTGAAGACAAGCTTGACTGTAATTACAATTTTGAACTCAAAAGATTTCATCAATGTTCGAGGGTCATTCCTCAACACTCAAATTTGATTTGTAAACTGGATGCCTTTGCAATTTTTCAGAATTTATGGATGCTACATTGGTTAGATGACAAATGTAATCATTCAGAGTCTGTAGCATGGTAACTCTACTTTGTATTGCAGAAATCGTGTTTGGAATGTGCTTCAAGTTAACTAACATTTTTAGAATCATGTATTCAATATTATGAGACTGAGGAATGTAATGCCTCAAAAGGCTATAGATACCGAGTCAATTGAGAGAGAGTATTGATAAACACTTGGTGAGTAAGGATATTTAGAGATCTAGAGAAAAGAAAGGAATTGAGCTGCTGCTTTAGGCTTAATGGTATATAGTCTTAATGGTCTGAGTAGTCCATTTCTGCTTCCATCTTCTTCACAAACCCAAACCCACCACCTGCTCCCTTGATCCCATCCCCACCTCTCTCCTCATCTCCCAGCTCCACCTTCTGGCCCTCTCCTGTCCGATGTCAACAACCTCTCCTTGTCCACCGGTTCACTTCCCAGCCCCCTAAAAACAGCCATCATCACCCCCATCCTGAAAAAACCTTCCCTGGACCCATCCCTCCTCTCCAGCTACCGCCCCATCTCTAACCTCCCATTCCTCTCCAAGGTCCTGGAACGAATCATCGCGTCCCAGCTCTGCTCCTTTCTTTCTTGAGATTCCCTCTTTGAACCCCTCCAATCCAGCTTCCACGCTGCCCACAGCACGGAAACAGCCCTGGTCAAAGTCACTGATGATATTCTGAACATCCGTGATCAGGGCTCCCACTGCCTCCTTGTCCTCCTCGACCTCTCTGCCGCCTTCGACACTGTCAACCACTCCATCCTCATACACCGCCTCTCCTCTTTACTTAATCTTCACGGACCTGCCCTTGCCTGGTTCAACTCCCATTTCTCTCACTGTCTCCACTCTGTTGCCTCTAACGGTTTCTCCTCCAGCCCCCACACTGTCACGTCTGGGGTCCCCCTTGGCCCTCTCCTCTTTAATATCTACATGCTCCCCCTTGGTGACATCATCCGCAGACATGGGGTCAACTTCCATATGTATGCGGATGACACCCAACTCTATCTTTCTGCCTCCACCCTCAACTCCAGGACCACTGCTGTCCTGACAGACTGCCTGTCGGACATCAAGTCCTGGATGAGGGCAAATTTCCTACAGTTGAATGTGAACAAGACTGAGGCCCTCCTGATTGGCTCGCGCCAGCGCCTCAGCACCTCAGGCTCTGGCAGCATCAACCTCCATGGTTGCACACTTCAACTCACCAGCCAGTCAGGGACCTGGTGTCTTGTTCGATCCTCAACTGTCTTTTCTTCCCCACATCCAAGCCATGACCTGCTCTGCCTTCCCTCACCTCCGTAACATCGCCCGACTCCGCCACTACCTCACCCCTCAGGCCGCTGATACTCTTGTTCATGCCTTCATCACCTCCAGGCTCGACTATGCAAACTCTCTGCTTGTCGGCCTTCCCAACTCCTCCATCCACAGACTGCAGATAATCCAGAACTCTGCAGCCCGTGTCCTCTCCCGCACCAAACTCTGTGAGCCCATCTCCCCCACTCTCGCCTGACTCCATTGGCTCCCTATCCTTCAGAGGATCCAGTTCAAGATCCTGGTCCTCACCTACAAAGCCCTCCATGGCCTCGCCCCACCCTACCTCTGCGACCTCCTAACCCCCTACCAACCCGCCCACTCTCTCCACTCAGCTGGCTCCGGCCCTGCTCCATGTCCCCTGACCCACCATTGGCAAGAGAGCCTTCAGCCACCCTGCCCCCAGCCTCTGGAATTCCATCCCCCAGTCACTCCGCCTCGCCCCCTCCGTAGCCTTCAAGTCCCGTCTCAAAACCCTCCTCTTCGACCATGCCATCGGCCACCCCCCTTCCCCTCCCCTCCTTTCTCCCTCCCTTCCCAGCTTGGGTCTGAAATGCTGTAAACTGTCAAGCACCTTGGGACGTCCTCCCGATGTGAAAGGCGCTATACAAATGTAATCTCCTTCTTGTTGTTATAAAATGGCTGTAATCTCCAGGAACGCATAACACAACAACTCCCTTGATGAATATAATGATGAGTTTGGATTCAAACATTATGCAACACCAGAATTCAGACTTTGTTCAAGGTACTTATTCTGCAGTAATATATCTGAGGTTTGGATGTCTAGTAACTGCCTGGATCACGATGCGTCAGAGACATGTTTGAGGGGTCAATTTCTTCAGGACAATTTCTTCTGGGTGTTAAATCTAAGTTCTTTTTGCATAATTGACAAAGGGTTCTCTTCCCAATAGAGTATACGTGCAAGCTTCGCACATCCACCAACCCTATGCACTCTGACATCAGCTGCCGTACTTGTCAGTGTTTAGTTTCCCCTTGGCATCAGATGCCTCCTTCAGAAAACAAGAAGGGAAGCTTCTATTTTCCATTCGGGCAGGAATTTTGCTGTGAGTTGCAAGAATTTAATTTCTTGCTTTGACTGTAACAGCCTGCAGGGCTTTAATAAAAATGAAGCAGATTTCAATTCTTAGTCAAAATGGTTTTGCAGCGTATGCCATGCAAAACCCATTTTTAGCAGAAATTCAAAACTAATGTTGCAATGTATTGCATTGGGTGGGGGGAATGTTGCATGTTGGGATCTTGCAGTGTGAGATTGCCACACAGGAAGCACAAGTGGTACAGATGAAATCAGACCTTAAAATCGTGGTTCATGACCACCCTGAAATTCACAAAGCTTTGATCCTTCTGAGTGTTTCGGATTAGTAATACCAGGATCAATTCTAGCGAGCCGGACTGATTGCGAATGGAAAGAAATTTCAAAATGAAGTGCAAAGCTAATGATAGGGAAGCAGGGCAGGATTTTTTACTGTGTCCTTGGAGTTCACAGATTTGAGCATGTCTGGTATAAATCATTTGTTCCATTTGCTTTCAGACAGTGTGAAGTGGGGAATGTAATACATATTTTGTTCCAGAGCTGAAGCTTTCTCTGTCTTTAGCTAAGTATGTAAAATCAGATCATCTGGCAGCAATGCTGTGTGGCGTGAAAAGCGCAGATTTTCACTGGCAGAGGATTTGACTTATGCTGATATTCTTTCTGATTTAAATCGGCAGGCGTGACTTTAATATGGTTACTGACTGTGACTGAGATCAGTCTTAATGTTTTGGTCAGCGAATGCTCTGTAGATAACAAGGTGTACGTTTTTCCTGTTGTATGAGTTCTGGGGGAGAAGCCAATAAAATAAATTCCAACTTTTATCATGGCTAATTTTGCATATGCCTTTGGCGTTGTGGAGCCATTATTGTTTGTTCTTTGAAAAATTCTAATGTTCCAAGTGGGACAAACAATCTAAACCCAATATCACCGATTTACTCACTGAGCCCAGACCAGGGCTTGAGGGTCAGTAAGTATGGAATAATTGACAATACGAGATAGGCCAGGTTTTAGTGAGGGCTCTTTGTTGTTGTTTTTATCATTGTTAAAATTGTTACAGCACCAAAAGTGGCCACTGGGCCCATCAAATCTGCGCTGGTGTGTCTATAATAACAATTTAATAATAGAATAAAATCATAGAATATTACAGCACAGAAGGAGGCCATCCAGCCCGTCGTGCTTGTGCTGGCTCTTTGGAAGAGCTACCCTACCCAATCAGCCCCGCTCTTTCCCCATACCGCTGCAATTTTGTTCCTTTTCAAGAACTTATCTAATTCTCTTTTGAAAGTTGTTATTGAATCTGTTTCCACCACCCTTTCAGGCATTCCATACTCTGTAATAAAAATTCTCCTCATCGCCCCTCTGGTTGTTTTGCCAATTATCTTAAATCTATGTGCCCTGGTTACTGACCCACCGGCCAGTGGAAATAGTTTTTTCCTATCTACTCTATCAAAATACCTCATAGCTTTGAATACCTCTATTAAATTTCCCCTTAATCTTATCTGCTCCAAGGGGAGCAATCCCAGCTTCACTGGTCCATCTCCATAACTAAAGTCCCTCATCCCTGGTACCATTCTGGTAAATCTCTGTACCCTCTCCAAGTCCTTCCTAGAGTGTGGTGCCCAGCATTGGATACACTACTCCAGCTGAGGCCTAACCAATAACTTATAAAGGTTTAGCAGTACTTTCTTGTTTTTGTATTCTATGGCACTATTTATAAAGCCAAGGATCCGATCCCATATACTTTTTAACAGCTCTATCAACCTGTCCTGTGACCTTCAAAGACCTGTGTATCTGAACCTCCAGGTCTCTCTGCTTCTGAACCCCTTTAAGACTGTACCATTTTTTGTATGTTGCCTCTCCTCATTCTTCCTCCCAAAATGTATCACCTCACACTTCTCTGCATTAAACTTCATCTGCCATGTGTCTGCCCATTTGACCGATCTGTCTATGTCCTCCTGAAGTCTGATACCATCCTCCTCATTGTTCCCAAGTTTTGTGTCATCTGCAAACTTTAAAATTTTGCTCTCTATACCCAAGTCCAAGTCATTTATGTATATCAAAAAGAGCAGTGGACCTAATACCGATCCCTGGGTGACACCACTGTATCCTTCCCTCCAGTCTGAAAAACAACCATTCACCACTACACTCTGCTTTCTGTCTTCCAACCAATTTCTTATCCATGCTGCCATTGTCCCTTTTATCCCATGGGTTTCAGC